GCGCTGCCTCTTCGGCTTTGAAACGGAGATGAACACCGCAACCCTAGAGTCGGATTCGACTGGCTTTCGAGCAAGGGAACCTTTGCTATGAGCTTTCATGAGTCACTGCTCAGTTCTACAGATAACTGGAGAACTGAGCAGTGACTCATGAAAGATCACACCCTGCCACAAATTTTGTTAGTCTTTAAGGTGCTACTGGAGTGGACTCTTGCTCCATTTATTTTTGTGAAGGAACATCCTGCAAGCAGTGCTTTTAAATCCTTTCTGTCTCAGTCGTCCACCTGCACAGAATGCATGAGGATGAATGTTTGTGGATGTGCAAAGGATCAGTTGCACATACCCTTCTGACTGGGCTGCGGTTTTTGCAAGAAATCTCCTTGGGAACAATCTCCACGGATTTCAGTGGGGCAATTCAAAACTACAGCCCTGCAGCTGGTACCACATGCCCAGTACGCAAACCCAATCAATAAGTGAACCACACAATTTCTTTATTTCATTTGTACTCCGCCTTTCTCCCCAAAGCAGCTTACGTTGCTCTCCTTTCTTCCTCCATTCTATCCTCACAACAACCCTGTGAGGTAGGTTGGGCTGGCAGAGTGGGACTGGCCCAAGGTCACCCATAGCACCAGTGGGGATTTGAACTCGGGTCTCCCAGGTACTAGTTCCATACCCTTCACCACCACACCAGCTTTACACTGCAACCCTAACTAGAGTTGTTGTTCAGTCACATAGTCGAGTCGGACTCTTCGCGACCCCATGGACCACAGCACGCCAACTAGAGTTACACAATTCTAAACCCACTAATTCGAGAGGGGCCTAATTCCTCTTAGAACTGCGCTGTCCATCTCATACAGCCCCGTCAGGGCAGTTTTCCCGACCGACAGCCTTTCCGAAGCGGCCCCCGGTCCTCGGCCATACCTTGCCCATCCATCCGGTGCACCTTGATCGTCACCTCAGTCCGGCCTCCTCGCTCCAGCGGCCGTCGGAGGTAGAGTCGGCCGGAGCCTCTGTCCAGCTCCACCGGGAAGGCGCCCACGGCCGCCGGGGAGAGCAGCTCGAACCAGCTGCCTTCGCCGGCCTCCTCCTGGTAGACAGCGTCCGGGACGGTGAAGATGGGCTCCCCAAGCGGCGCCCCGACGGGGACGCGCACCTTGTAGAGGGGGCTGCTGGAGGGCGAGAGGGAGCGGCGGGCTCTGCGCCGCGACGGGGCGGCCTCCTCCTCCTCCTCTCGCCTCCTCCTCCTCCCGACGGCCAGCTCGAGGCGCCTGGCGGGGCTCCACAGGGGCCGAGGGACGCCGTGGTCCCGGGCGGAGACCCAGAGGCTGAGGCGGCGCTCGCCCAGCAGGGAGCCCACGGCCAGCACCTGCCCGCTGCGCGGCACCACGAAGAGGCGCTGCCCGCGGCGGCCGCAGCCCTCGGACCAGGCGCGGTAGGTGAGGCGCGCGTTGGCCCCTTCGTCGGCGTCCAGGGCGTGCAGGCGCGCCACCTCCGAGCCCAGCGGCGACAGCTCGTCCACCGCCAGCGGCGGCCCCGGGCTCGGCGGGAAACGAGGCCGGTGGTCGTTGCGGTCCAGGACCCGCAGGAGGAGCAGCACCGCCCGGGAGGGACCCCGCAAGGAGAGCCGGTAGCCGGCCCGCGCCTCCCGGTCCAAGCGCGCCGCCGTGCGCAAAAGCGCCGCGCCCGACGCCGGACGCAGGTGCAGGACGAAGCGAGAGGCCCCCTCGCCCTCCAGCGCCCACTCGCCCAGCGGCTGGCCCGGCGGGAGCAGCGGCACCCTCAGCCCCCGCACCCACGTCCCCGGAGGGCTGTTCTCCGGCACCTGCCCGTGGAAGCAGAGCGCGCCGGGGGCGGCTGCCGGAGGGGGGCCCCCCGAGCCCCTCATCCTTCCCGCGGCCACCCCAGCCAGCCCGAGCCCGCCACACTGCTCCGCTCCGCCGGCCCCCAACTCCCGGGCAGCTCGGCCGACTCCACGTGGGGGGCGGGGCCCGAGCACGCCCTCTTTCCATAGCCCACCAATCGGGAGAGAAGGGGCGGGGTTGACCGGGGACCCGCCCGCGTTCTGTGCCCTTCAGTTGTCCTGGACGTTTGGGCAGCTGCGCTCTCGGCGGTTCCACGGCCGGACCATCCATTCTTGGGCGATTCCCCTGGTCAGAGAACTTTATTTCCACCAAAGAGGATGCTGTCCAAGCGTCAGGGAGAGCGTGCCTGGAGGAGGATTCCAACTATCCCTCGTGTTTTCTACCTGCCTTCGCACTTTTATGCTGCCTTTCAAGATCTCCATCGTTCGGTTCTGTTTTATCCTCGCACACCAGATGAGTTAGGTTGAGAGCCTGACCGACCCAAGAGCAAAGCAGTGCTCCAGCTGTGGCAGCACACGCACCTGGCCCTAGTGTGGTACAGGGGTCAGAGCAAGAGACCCGAGTACTAGAATGTGTTCAGTTTCTAAAAGGTTACTAGAAAAGCAAATAAGAGAATACCTGCTGGGTGCTGTTTGCTATGGGTCTCATTTATTGCAATATTACTCGGGATCTTCTTAAAAGGAACAGTTTCAGTATGCCCCAAAGAATGCTCACATTCTTAGAACACAGCCAGTTTGTGGGATAAATCGAACCAGCCTTTCTGCTGGTGAGAGGGTATCTTTTGACCACCAAAACCACTATGCTGGGGATCATGGACCAAAGGCAGGGGCATAGAATAAGGAGGGGAAATAGGTGTGATTGAATGAAAATGCTAGCTGGATCCAGCCCCTTATATTCCTCTACAAATCAGTTCATTGTTAACTTTAAATTGCTCAGCCAAAAATCTCTCAGACCAAATCAGGGGAGTAAGATAAGCAGCTCTTTCATACATCCAGCAATCAGAATCAAGAGAATTGTTTAATTTATAGTGAAGCAAAGGATATATAAGGGAAATGTTTCTGTTTATGTCTTAGGTTCAACTCCAGAGATCATTCAGGTGTTTCTCCAAGATCCTGGTTCCAGTGCAAAACTTCATCTATGGGTTCTATTTAGTCCTTTGGGATACTAAATTTGGTGCTGCTTCTGACAAAGCAATGGAGAGCCACAGGTGTTAAGTATTTCTGAAGTACAATAACATCCTGAACTCCTTGGAGGAAAGACTGGATAAAAATATACTAGAAATATAGAAACTGGTCTAAAGGTTGTGTTTCTTGGTGCCCACTTGCTTCTTCCGTAGAGCAGGGAGCCAGTCCTGGATTTCTTCCACCTCAGGTGCTTCAGAAGACCACAGAAGGCATCACCTTTGGGTCTGTGTAGGGGGCACCCCTTCAGAAACAGTTGCCCCCCCATCATAGGAGGGTGCTTGGCCTGGAACCTCCCCATGTGTTATTAGCCATGCCCCCAGCAGTTTTTGTAATGAGATGAGACCATCAGCTCAGTAAGTTTGGGAACCCCTGCTCCACACATTCTATTGTAGATTTTAACATACAAAAACAAAAAAACAACTGTACGCCAAGTGAAGGTTTTTGCTTGTTTCTTTAATAAAAAGTTCCCAAGGCACATTTTCCAAGTGGATTACAACATCAACATCCAGAGGTGTGAACAACTGTCAGTCTTTTCCTTAGGGCTACATTTATTTCTCCTTCCCCCAGAAACATAAAATGTATGATAAATAACTAAATAAGGGTGCTGCTTACAAAAATTCTACATTTTAAAACCTCTAAAGTCTTCAGGGCACACCAGGAAAACTGCTGTATTTTACAGATGTGATCAAATCATTCTCTCTCACACACAGATTTCTCTCCCACCCCTTTCCTTTCTGGCTACTCAACAGCCAGCATAACAGCCATTTTAGAGTTTGCTTCAGTTGCTTTTGGGGAGATTAAAAAATACTAGCACTATTTCAAAAATTCTTGCTCTCTGGCTAGCAACCCCAGTAAATTCATCTTCTTTCCCTGAAACTTGTTCTCTGAAGTCTCACAATTCCATGTTGTAGTAACTCTCACAACTCCATGTTGTAATAACTCTCCAAAGCTGAAAACAAACTTGAAATCCTTCAAATTTCAATGCATTTTCAGACCCCCCCCCCAAAAAAAAATTCAAAGTGATGCAGTCAGTAAAATCACTACAGGCATGACAGTAAGGCCCAAGTGTTACAGTAAAGCTTAGATGAGAGAAAAATGGAAGAGCCATATCAGAAAAAGATTAATCTTCTGTATGTAGAATTTCAGTGATTCACAGAGAGCCAAATAAGTGTTACATGAATCTCCAAATATGACCTGCACTCATCACTGAAGTAATACTCAAAAATGAAGCCCTTTACAGGAGCTAAAATACTGCATTCTGAATGACACTACCAGGTTTGTCACAGCTAAGCCAACAGGTATGAAAAGAATCAATGAAGGGCTAGAGACTGATGCACAGGGTACTAGTCTATACCTGCCAATGACATTCTGTTAGAGCCTATCAGAGTGGACCAGATGCATCATTTCTATGGGGTCTGAAAGCCCATTGAAATGAAAGGGGATCGCCCAGCAGAAGTTCCTGGCTGATAGGGACTGGGGGGGTTATTTTTAATAAAAGGTCAAAAAGCAACCATTTATATCAGTACGCCTTACTATCAGATGTAAAAAAAGTTAAATTTCCCCTGCAGTAGCACAAGACAAACCACATCTGCTATACTTTACTGCAGCAGCAAAAGCAATTCAGTGCAGAGGCAGAAACTTACTAGAATAGTCTGAAAGGTCTACCACATAACACGTACACACACACCCCTACCTTACTGAAACAAATGGACCTCAAAGCTACTTCTGTTGTAAGGCAAATCACAAACCCACTATGATTAAAATTCTACAGATTGTTTTAGGCTATTTCCCTTTCCCTCCATGGTGAGAGTTCTTCAAGCTCAGTTTAACAACCATTAAAACACTTGATCAGAAACACTTACCAACCATGAATTATTTTTCAAAACCTTGCATTCGAGTTGTTTGACTGGCATATACATGCACCACTGATCAAACACTACACAAAATGCATGTGATAGAAGTACACATACTCAGTTTTTTAATATGTACATATGTTTTGCTGCCCATGGCTCCTCTCTCATTTACGTATGACAGATGCATAATGTCTGAAGAGGAATTCAGTTCTTGTCTTTGGATAAAATGCCTTCCTGCAAAGTATCCAGGGAATGTTTTCCAAACCTTCACTTAAAGGAAAAATGCTTCAGTTTGTTTAAGGACTGCAGGAACAAACTCAGAGGGAAAAACAAGCGACAGATGCCGAAGAGAACAAGAGGAACAGAAAAAGATACCAAATTAATATACCGTACTTTTAATTTATTTTAAAATAACCAAGCATGCAGCTATTAGCTTGGTTTTGCAGTGTGTGGATTTTTAAACCCCAATTCACCAAAAAATATTTTAGCAAGGCTAACAGGGCCAGTTGGTAAATGCAACTGGTCATGGGTCAAGCAGGCACACAGTTCCATGAAGTAGCTGAAATCCACAAAATCTAGGTCCTCTTCTTGTTTGGAGAATGAACCATCTATTTATTACAACTTGCAGGTCTCCAAAAAAACACGACCTGGAATAGAATTATTCATATAGGGGAAAAAATCAGACATTTGCCAGCTCTTACGGAGGACATTTTTAATATTAAAAGGATGCATAATCTGCTGTATTTATTTATTTCACAGGATACAATCACACCCCATTAAAAATCCATGAGAGCTACCAATGTCTTGAACAGCCAGTAGACTGCAGCCACCAGCCACACCTAAGAAAAGTCAGGTAAAGAGAGTGCTCACCCACCTCCACCATGACCCTACTGTGATTCATCAGCCAAACAAATCCAAGCCAAACTGCTTTTTAAAACTTCCCTGAATTTAAAAAAGCAGTTTAGTAGGAGCTTGGAGTAGCTGCAAAAAGAGACATCCCCCCTACACAAAAGGCCTCCAGAAATATGTGCATAGTGTCAGGATCATGCTCTGTATGTTCACATGTCACTTATTTTGCATTTATCAGAGTAAATAGGTCTAGTTAAAAATACAGTTAATTGCTTTAACATTGAAAACAGAGCAACAATGTGCACAAAAATAAGGTTATTACAACTAAGATGTCAATAAGAGGTATTCGAAAATGTGGAAGACTGTTGTTATCTTGCAACGTTGATCAGTATTTTCCAAGGTCCTGGAGCATGTTTCTCCGTCTTGCTATACAACACTCAGTCTGCAGTATTCCAGTTGGGTCAATTTGTAGGCATTTGCATGTTCTCACTTGGTGTGTGTGTCTATATTCATATATGCAATATAGAAAAAGAACACTTTGTAAAATGACCTCATCCCATTTTTAGAATTTTGCCCCCTAAAGTCAGTCTTCAACAAGAAGGTCTCCGTGACTTCTCAGGACTGGAAGGATATAACAGTGTTGATTTTATATACAAAGTAGGACCTGTTCCAATATACTCGAGTGAAGTAATTCACATATGGAGAATAGTTCATTTTAATCTCCTGACAAAATCGTCCATATTTTGAATAGCCATAGCTGTCACCTTCTTCGCAATACACCTGGCACAAAACAGAAAAAAGTTTGTGTATGCATTTCATTTGTAGTCCACCTTTCTTGCTCAGACTCAAGGTGGATTATGAATTCTTTTAAAAATGTAATAAAAACTGTATAATACATACAACCAAATGCAGTAAAACTACATTACAAAATTTAAAAATGATGCAATAGGAGGATAAATAAAACTGCCTAAAATCTCACCGACATTGTATAATACAATTTAAATGCAATAAAACTGCCTAAAATCTCACCGACATTAAAACTGCACACTGCTTCCTTTATGAAAATGCCCTTGTGAATAATTCTGTTCTACACCTCCTGCAAAATGACTGAAGTGGGGGAGCCTTTCTGAGCCACAGCAGAGAATGCTCAGGGAATGGTATTAAACAATCTATTGATTTTGCCGAATTCTCCATGAGTTTTCCCACCAGAAAATACTCATCCAGTGAAGCATTCTGAAGTGCACTACAGAGGCCTCTCCTGATAACTTGGACAACATTTACCTTACCACAGAGAAGGATGTCCTTGGGGTAGCAAGCACACTCCAGATACAAACAGTACTAGCAATAATTCATGTTAGATCTTTTCTGTCCCATGTCAAAACGCGTTTCTAAGCTCTGGTTGTTTTTGTATTGTGACCCACTATGTCTTGTCTTCTGACACCACCAGAGGGTTTTGGAAGACATTTTCCTATCCCAAGATGCACTGGAATTTGGCTTGGGGTATGAATACCCTCTGTGAACGTTATTTCCCCAAGCACATTAGCAGTGTTAAGGCTGCAGTCGCGTGCACACCAGAGTAAGTCTACTGACCACTGTTCAGAAAGAATTCCCATTAACTCACATAGGATCAGGCAGATTAAATGGTAAAGCACTTAGTACATCTAACATTGCTACAGCAGTGAACACATTCTGTGCTCTGCCCTAAACCCACCTGCCAAAGCCACCAATTACAAAGACTATATCACACCTCTTTCAAGAGGCAACCAAACTATTTTAGCCGAATTCTGCTACTTACGTGTCCATTAGCAATATCCAGTAAGTCTTTGATCCGGCACCCTCTCACGCCCACCTGCGAAAGCCACCAATTACAAAGACTGTATCACACCTCTTTCAAGAGGCGACCAAGCTATTTTACTCATAGCCGAATTCTGCTACTTACATGTCCATTAGCAATATCCAGTAAGTCTTTGATCCGGCACCCTCTCACAGGCCCGACTTCATTGCAAATCGAATCCTCTACAACCAAGTAGGTTGCTTTATATGATGTGAGTATCTTATAAATATCTTCAGCTGATCTTTTGGAATAGATCTGGAAAATCTGTAGATTTAAATATGTTCAGTGAAGATGGAAACAATGAACACTGTGGAATATTAGGCAGGTTTTGTTGATACAATGTTCGATAGAATTTAGAGACACATACAAAGCATAATAAAAGCAGTTAGTATCTCACAGACATGAAGCTGCCTTATCCTGAACCAAACCATTGATCCATCAGGGCCAGTCCTGTCTACCCAAACAAGCAGTGACTCTCCAGGGCCTCCAGGTCTTTCACATCACCCACTATCTGATCCTGAACTGGAGATGCCGGGGATTGAACCTGAGACTATCTGTATGCCAAGCAGATGCTCTACCACTGAGGCATGGCTGCTCCCCTTCAAGAACACAATGAATGCATTTATTTTATAGATGATCAAGGGCTATGTTGCATTTATGACAAACAGACTGAATTATGTATGCAAATACATATGGACTGGAGCACAGTAGCTCGAAGCTTTAAAAAAAAAATGAGCTGCCGTTACGCCCCGCTTTAAATCAATGAATTTTACACTTGAATGCTAAACAACAACATTTATAGAGGTTCCTTTTTATTCCAATGGTGTTTGCTTCCAAACAAGCATGCTCAGCATCTTTCCTCTTAAGACTCTTGCTATGGTCCTCCCAAGCAACTATGCTTGTCGGAGCCACAGTTCTGGAATGAATTAAGTACTGACGGTTTTGTCTCCCTGAGAGTCTACAACAGCATCTCCTGTGCGATCTTAAAGACTAACAAATGCATTATCCAACGCATGAAGTATTAATTGACAGATTGTCTATATACGTGGGGGGGGAGCACAAAAACGAGAAGGGTAAGAGAAGATGAGATGTTGTACGGGATCTTAAAGACTAACAAATGCATTACCCAATGCATGAAGTATTAATTGTCTATATACGTGGGGGGGAGCACAAAAAAGAGAAGGGTAAGAGAAGATGAGATGTTGTAAAATGTGGCTAGGAAATCCACATTCCAAGACTCACTAACTCTGTACATGCAGAAATCAGTAAGGACTGATTAGCTCATACAGAAAGTAAATGTCCTCTTTTTGAGGATTATATACACTATTCAACCTGCATTTCATCACCAATTGAGAGTGGTTCACCCCAAATCCAATTGTACTGCTGATTCTTTTGATTGGATCTTGGTTTCAACTCATTTATTCAAAGTATTCTATCCTGTTTCTAACTGGGTTTGGTGGCTTCCAGTAATCATTAAAACAACACAATAAAACAAAAAAAAACCCTATATATGGCCTGAATTCTACTATGCAATAATACCATATCTGTATATTGGAGTGCTGAATTATTTAGTCTCCCTTTGTTAGACATAATAAACAGAAGGGTGTGTGTGTGTAAAATTAAGTTTCTCCATTTGTCTAGTTCATCAGAGACTACACAGCAATAAACCTGTTAGTCTTTACATTTCTACAGACCACCCTTTGAGAAATACTGCGGAATGTTCGAAAGTGTCAGAAATGTTTTCAAGTTTACAAGACGACACACTCACGTTCTCATTCCTCTTCTGCAGGTCTTCATCGCTGTACACGGGCAGATTTGTCACCATCCATCCAGTGCACAGCTTGATCACGCCCATGAGCTGTGGGCTGCCAGCAAACACAGCGGCAACGGGTGCCTGCCTTCTGCAAAGACAACACACCTGCTCTCTCATGCTTCCATACAACTGTATTGCCTAAAACTATGGCAAGCTTTGGTGTTTAAAGTCCGCATCTATCACAAAATGAAAACCATCAGGGGTCATTTCCTGCAGGAGCGCACAGGAGTGGAGCTCCAGCAGTAAAGAGCCCAGGGGGCTGGCACATGCAACAAGCCCCACCCCCTGCTCCCAGCAGCCCTCAGTCAGAACAAGAAACAGCCAGGTAAGCTGCAGAGCCCGGCCCTCTGGTCCAAAACAGTCCAGTGGCACCTTTAAGATCAAGTTTTATTCAGGTACAAGCTCTCCCTCCTCTGCGAGGACAGATCTGCACGTCCCCCCCCCCCAATAGCTAGCAATCCAAAACAGTCCAGTGGAGCCTGAGCGGTGGGTGTTGCCTTCTGACACACTTCCGGTGATGTCAGGGGGAGTGGCATATGCAAATAGGTTATGCTAATAAGTTATGCTAATGAGCTCCTGCACCTCTTTTTCTACGAAATGACCCCTGAAAACCATGATCCCAACATAGGCAGATGCTGGTGCATTTTAGTGACACATTCAATTAAAAGCGTCCCTAAGACAACAGTATGGCAAGGTCCAGATGAAACATCAAACCGTGGAACAGCCTTCAGCTCACTCACATGATTCCTCCTCCCATCATGCATCACTCAGTAATCAATTGTTTCTGGTTTTTCAGCCATGGTGTAATGGTTACAGTGCTGGAATTGAATCTTGGCCACCTGTGTCTGAGTTCCCACTCTACCAATGAAATCTGCTGGGTGACTTTGGGACAGTCACCCGCTCTTCACCTTCACCTACCTCACGGGGTTGCTGTGGCGAGGATAAAGTGAAGGAGGGGAGAACAATGTTGTAAGCTGCTTTGGGTCTCCACTGGGAAGAAAGATAAGGTGTATATATCTAAATAAATAGCTGCTTCCGGTTTTGTGAGAAGCCACAGTTTGCTGTTGCATCCAAGCTGGCAAACTGTGGGATGTGCTTGCCCCCTGCAAACTATGGCTTGTTTGAGAACAAACGTGCACTGGTTTTAATAGCAAGCAAAACTCTGTTTGCCAGCTTATGTGCAACAGCAAAATATTGCTTCCTAAAAAACCAGAAACAACTCTTCACCCTGTGATGTGTGAATGGAGGAGGCATTCGGGACAAAACATTAGTACTAGCCCCAAAAGGTCAAGGTACACAACAGTTGCACAAAACATTACTAGCCCCAAAAGGTCAAGGTACACAACTCATGCATCCCCTAAGTAGTATGAGCAAACAAAACATCCTGTCACACACTACCTATATGATAAGAAACTATGATAAGCCATAGCTATTTTTTTTAAACTACAGCAATAAGCAATAAAAGACAAATACTGAATGGAAGACTTACTTTATCCAGGTCATGAGTCCTACTGTATCAGGGTCATAAAATTCTTGCAGTTCTGAAAGTTCTGCCATTATCCTAGGAAAAAACTAAAAGGAAGCACCAAGGCTATGAACTGTGGGAAGACAAATCACAGAACTTTAAATCACGCAGGAAAGAGGACTAAAAAGAAAAACCTTTCTAGCTTTACCATTAAATCAAGTTATCAACTTATCAGGATCCCTTCTCTGTAGTGGCCTTTATGGCAGAATACACTTTATTCTTTATAATGCAATTTAATAGAAACACATCTCTCCAACTTTAAACCACTCCAGTGGAAATGTTTATCAGTTTATTAAGAAAAACCTTTCATAAACATAATTGTGTTAATGCTCAACACTGAACTGTATTCAGGTCTTTGTCACAAACCAATCACGGCTGTATGAAACACACCCATCTTCCCATGTATCTTATGTAAAAAATGGCCTTCTGCTGTCTACATTGGACAACAGGTCAATCCCAACACAGAAGCATAAACAATCATAATATTCAGTAACCAGTGCATGAGCCCTGATCAGTGGCTGATCTACAAATCATTGTTTTCCTACAAAAGAACTTCAAAGGGACAATCCAATGCAAAATTGCTAAATTCGAATTCTTTAACCAATTCAAGACTATCTCCCTCCAATCTTAACAAAGACTTCACATTCCTTAATCAATTACCGGTGTTAATATCTTGCATTACTGATATTAATTAGTCAAGCTATAACTCAAACTTTCTTACTGGATCTGCATACTGTGTTTCATCCCGCATTTTCCTAGAATAGACTGTATGTTAGTATGTACACTGCCTACCTCTCCCCTACCCTTCTGTTAATATAAATGCATCTACCTAATGAATGGACACATCATACATCTGATGAAGTGAATTTTGCTTAGTACAGCCTTAGGCTGAAGTAACTAGTCTGTATTACTGTAAAGTGCCAAAGGTCTCCTGTTTTGTATCACCATCTAGTGGCCACAATAGTTTTATGACATGTTTCAGCAAAGTATTTTCAAACTTAGGTACTTGATTTTGAAATCCTACCACAAAAGGTGGCAATATGTACGGCCACCACCTGAAAATCAGTTCTCTTATTAAGAGCTCTGTCTCCATTACCCTGGATAATACTAAATACTATCATTTTCACATACGCTAATAATCAAGGCCCAAGCACTGGCATAGAGGGTACAAAAAAACCCATACTTTATTGGGATCTGCGGGGGGGGGGGGGGGGGGGGGGGCAGCCGAGGCTGCAAGCACACTACCATGATATAGTTTCTTCAAGTCATTCCTGAAAGTTCTAGGCATTTGTACCAGGCCCAGAGACAAGGTGCTTGTGCCCTGTTTTCAGTGTTCATAGCGTACAACACCCATTACCTCAGCACCTTTAAGACCAACAAAATTTTATTCAAGGTATACGCTTGAATATCTATATCTTTAGATATTTGAATTTGTTGGTCTTAAAGCTGTCACTGGACTCAAACTTTGTGCCGCTGCTTCAGACCAACACGGCTACCCACATCACTTCGGTAATCCTCTCAACAGCCCTGTAAAGGGAGGCCGATATTCTCCTCATTTAGCAGACAAGGAGAGAAGATGGGACTGAGGAATAACAAAAACGAGTTTCCCAAGGGCCCCCCATAAGTTTGTGGCAGAGGATTTTCTAGAGACTCACATTCCACTCCCCCTTTGCCATGGAAGCTTTTTGGGTGACCTTGAGCCACTGTCACAGACTCACCTAACCTACCTCACAGGGTTGTTGTGAGGATAACACAGATGCAGAGGAGAACAATGTAGGCCACTTTGGGTCCCCACTGGGGAGAAAGGCCAGGTACAAATGAAGTCAACAGATGACACATACTAGATTAATACTTGATGGGTATGTGTATATTATTTCCTTACCTCCTTCCACAGGCTAAAGCCTATGATAGTAGGAACAGCCATGCTCAGGATTAGAGCCTGAAATATCAAACACGCAAAAAAAAAAATAAGAATTTCTTTGGTCCTCCTCTATCTATCTGAAATGCTTGCACAGCTCTACAATATGCCTTTCAAAAGTTTATTTCGGTTTATCAAGGGCATGATGGCGAGCCCATTCAAATATACATGAAGGGTCACCAACCTCCAGGTGGTGGCTGGAGAACTCCTGGGATTACAACTGATCGACAGAGATCAGTGCACCTGGAGAAAATGGCTGCTTTGGAAGGTGGGCTCTAAGGCATTATGCCCCAGCGAAGTCCCTCCCCTCCCTAAACCCCGCCCTCCTCAGACTCCACCCCCGAAACCTCCAGGTATTTCCCTACCTGGAGCTAGCAACCTATACGCATGCCGTGTGATAGTATCGGAATCTTCCCTCCTCAGAGGGTACACGCACGCACGCTGTTCACTCGCTCTTTGTTCAGTTTCACCCACATAATCCTGCAACAGCATGCCCAGCAGTCAGCTTTAAGAAGACCATTTATTCCTGCCTAAAGGGAGTTCGTTTGTGCTCCCAAAACCAGCCAAAGCTTGTAATTTCTGCAATGATGGGATATATGCACTGCAGTGAGATTACATACAACCTTAAACAAGGTATCTTCAAAAAGAAAGACCCACGCTGGGGAGAGGGCACAGCTGGAGGTGAGAGCATGAGACCCGGGGGGGGGGGCGCTTGCTGGCTTTAGACACAGGGTTGCCAACTCCAGATTGGGAAATTCCTGGATATTTGGGGGTGGAGCCTGGGGAGGGTGGCGTTTGGGGAAGGAAGGGATCCTAGTTAGTGAGATATAATGCCATAGAGTCCACCCTCCAAAGCAGCCATTTTCTCCAGGGGAATTGATCTCTGTAGTGCAGAGATCAGATGTAATTCCAGGGGATCTCCAGCCCACCTGGAGGGTGGTGATCCTAACTGGTCACCTTACTGTTTGGAGTTACTTTTCTTCTCTATCCTTTTCCTCCATATTTTGAAATGAAATCAAAATCTGGCAAGACTGCAGTTTGTCAGGTCCTGGAGAATCCCCAGATGTGTATAATTCTGGACTGCCTTGTTTTCCCAGCCCTTCAGTGTTTTCTTTTAAAACTGTTTTTCATCTTATGTAGCTTTACATCAACATATGACTATCACAGGACAGGAACTCACCAGCAAGATGGGGTGCACCGCTTTCAGTCGTATCCACTTGAAGAGGGTCGTCCAGAGCTCAGGGGAGCACACCCCAAAAGCTGCTAGCATGCAAACGTAAGGGGTCCACAGATACTTCATTCTAGAAAATCAACACACAAATCCAAATGAGGAGACTGTTATTGACAAATGACAAAAAGCAACTAATTCCACAGTGATTTCTCTGAATGTCTTTCACTGGGGTCGATTAATGCCCCGCAGTCACTGTAAGGGAAGCCTCCATCTGTTTTCCTCCATCAATCAGCAAAGTACTTCCTCACAGATTTATCTTAAAACTTGGGACTCAGCAACTGCATATTTGGCGGCAGACAAGACATACATTGGGAAGTCACCTTTGTATTGATGTGATCCAGCAGCACTGGATTCTTTAGAAGAGTGTCCCTTGCCCTGGCATGGTCCCCACATATTTAAGAGGTACATGGTAGGTCCTGTTTGTATGAAAGAACTGAGCCGTGGGCTCATGATCTCTCCCCCTTCCTCTTCCTCCCTTCCTTAAATATTGGCGAGACCAATAAGGTGGCACTGCATTTGTCCTGGCATTTGGGCTGAAAAAAGTAGCTTCCTGCTGGCAGACAGCAAAATAACTGGTCACGCCGATATTCTATAAAAATGACTGGCAGCCACTATGCTGCCCTGCAGAGTGTGAGTTTTGTCTTAGCAACCGCAAAACAGTGAGAGTGACAGTTAGAGACATTTGCGACTGATGCGGGGATTCTAGCTAAAAAAACATTTTAGCCCTGGGACTTCACAACATGCTAGAAGTGCAATAGCTTTTGGAAGCACCTGTCAACAGCCTGAAGTGTTAGCAAAGACAACTGATAATAACAAGAACAATTAGAACAGATGCCCATAACACAAGACAAAAACCTCTCTGGTAGATATCTTTTTGCACTAAACAAGCTGCAACGTAATTAAAGCTAAGCTGTGAACCAAACTATTGAATTAGTTCTGATGACATCCCTGCTCGCCATACGCATATGTATATTATATGTACACACACAGAGATGGAAACAAAGCACTTAAATACATTCAGCAAGTTAACAGCAATTCTTTGCCATTTCCAATAGACGTAAATCCATCTTGAAAAACCTCACCCTTCCATCATCATTGTAAGTGACCCCAAGGAAATGGTGTGCAGTACATGATACACCACTTCTGGCCTTTCTCCAATCCTCCCACTCTCAAGGGTAGATGTTTCACTGACCGGTTCACCACTACGACATTTGCAAGAGAAAGACACAAGTGCTTAACAAAAAGGAGAGACAACAGCCTAATCAGAGCCAATGTGCCTTCATTAGAGAGCAGTGCCAAATGACAGGTGTCATAAGCTTATATAGTGTGGTGATGGGTGATGCAATCCTGGTGGTACAATGATGGATACAATTCTGGTGGTATTTCAATAAATACACGTGTTTTTTAACCTATAATTATTCTATATTTAAGCTTTAACCACTGCCCCCCCCATTTGTTGTCATGATAACACAGAGAAGGGGAGGATGAGGCAAGCTGCTCTGAGCCCCCATTGGAGAGGAAAGCAGGATATGATTATGAATACAAGACAAAATACATTAGCAAACTGAGCAGCTTGTTATCAGTTTTCATGCTATTTGTTAAGGATTATCAAGAGACACACTTCTGTTCTTCACAACATATAAATGACTTCGTATTTTGGTGGTTTATGCCAACCTAGTTTAGATATATATTCAAAATACTAATGCATGGTGAAGTGGTGGACCAAAGTCACACATTCTGTCAGACTGCCAACGTAACATATGGCACAAACATGCAGTTTTCCTGGAATGCTCCAAACTTTTTATATATATGTGTGTGTGTGTGTGTGTGTGTGTGTGTGTGTGTGTGTGTGTTGTATCTTTCAACACTTTTTTTTAAAGATAGGACAGAAACCACAGACAGCCAAATCCCACATATTACCTCACGCGCACAGGCCCAAATCCACCACTTGTTATCAGTGCGGGACCTATCCTGTGGAGTTCCACAGGGTGCAATTCTGTATGCCATACTTTTCAATCTCTATGTAAAGCCCTTAGAACAATTCATCCACAGCTTTGGGGATGGATGCCATCAATATGTAGTTGATACTTAGCTCTATATATCCTTATCCAAGTCTCCTGGTGATGCAGTAGAGGTCCTGAATCACTGCCTGACGGCTGTGGTAAATTCGTAAAGTGTGAAAAAAATTGAAACTAAACCTTGAAAACACAGAGGTAATGCTGGCTGGGAAGGCAGAGTCTTGAAGGACATTGTGCTCCCCACTTGTGATGGGAGTTCAACTGTCCCTTGCTGACTCAGTTCAGAGCCTTGGGATTATACTGGACCCAACTTTATTCCTGGAGATCCAAGTTAATGCAGCTGGGGGGAAAGTCTTTCTTCCAACTCAGCCTACACTGAAAGCTGCCCCCTACCCTCGATATGGCTGACCTGACCACCTGGATCCATGCCACAGTAATATTGAGACTAGACTACTATAATGCACTGTACATTGGTCTCCTCTTCAAAATGCATTCAGAAACCCCAGTTGGTGCAGAATACCGCAGCTCAGCTATTATCAGGAGCTAGATGGAGCATGCATATTACTCCCATCCTGCAGGCCCTTCACTGGCTGCCCATCAGTTACTGGGCTCAATTTTAGCGATCACATACAAAGCTCTTCATGACCTTGGACCCTCGTATCTGCAAAACCGCCCCTCCCCCTACACTCTGTCATGACAGCTTTGCTCATCAGAACAGGGTCTTCTGCAGGTGCCACCTTGTGGAACGGCCTGCTTAAGAAGGTCAGGAAGCTCCCACTCTCCTGCCTTTCTGGCAAACTAGGCAAAACTGAATTATTCAAGAGGGCTTTTCTACGCAGGCAATAGAATCGCACCGTGCTAAATATTTCACGAAGTTACTTGGATAAATTATTACAGACTGTGGTCCATACTACTGTGTATCGCTTGCTGAAACTAGGATCCGACGACGTGATTTTTGCATCATTTGATGTGTCCTATTAATATGTATGCTTTGCTTCAGTTCTGTTTTTAGACTTCTGGTTGGTTATACAACCCTGATTCCTACTGCATCGTTTATCAAATATCCCTTTTTGTCTACTATATTGATTCACTGGGTTGTAATCCTCCTTCAGCCCATATGAGAAAGATGGATTGTGAATGAATAAATCCCTATCTACTGCTTTTCCAGACTGGAAACCCCCTCTCACTGCAAGTGGCAAAGGTTAACCAGAGACATTCAGCAATTGGCAGGTAAATCACAACAGCATCGAAACAAGCAGTCTGAGAATGGTCAGATGTCAACTTACCTACTCCTCCTAAAAATGACCTGACCTACAGAGAGAAGGCAAATGATGAGCACTAAAACATAGAAAGGCAATAGTGAGGACTGAGTAAGCCGCAGAAAGAAGTCTTGGGATGGTGTCTGAAGTGACTCTTGACAAAGGAGCCAGTTCATTGTGAAGTTCCTAAAGAGAAGAACAAGGGGGGGGAGAGGTCATATCTAAGGATGGGTACAAACCAGAAAATTCCAGTTTAGTTTGGGGTGTACCTGAACCGAGCCCCAAACCAAGCAAAAATGCCCGAACCAAACCAGCCAATTTGGCTGTCTTTCTCCTGGCCATGGCAAGCCGCAAT